TAGAATGGTCCGAGGCTCCGGGGGGGCGGCATCTGGTGCGAAACGCCGAGAGAGAGCGTCCGCCTTGAGGTTCTTGGAGCCGGGCCGGTAGGCAATCTGGAAGTGGTACGGCTCGAAAAAGAGGGCCCACCGAGTCTGACGAGGGTTGAGCTGGCGGGCAGTCTGTAGATGAATGAGATTCTGGTGGTCGGTCCAGATCAGAAAGGGATCGGTGGTCCCCAGGAGCCACTGCCTCCATTCCTCCAGCGCCCATTTTATTGCAAGCAGCTCTCTGTCGCCGACCCCGTAGTTCTGCTGTGTGGGGGAAAACTTCCGGGAGAAGTAGGCACAGGGGTGGAGCTTGGAGTCTGGACCCCGTTGCGAGAGAACGGCCCCCGCTCCCACATCCGAGAAGTCCACCTCCACGACGAAGGGCCGGGTCTGGTCCGGGTGGAGGAGGATGGGTTCTTTAGTGAAACGTCCGACCAGCTCATGGAAAGCACGGACAGCCTCTGGAGTAAGGCGAAAAGGGCGAGGCTGATTGGTGGTTTTGGTGAGTGAGGTCAGAGGCGCTGCGAGGGAACTGAAGTTGCGTATAAACCTCCGGTAAAAGTTCGAGAAACCCAAGAAGCTTTGCAGCTGCTTCAGGGTCGTGGGTAGAGGCCACTGAGCTACGGCCTGAACCTTCTGGGGGTCCATCTTCAGGCCCCGGGAGGAGATGGTAAAACCCAGGAAGGAGGTGGACTCCTGGTGAAACGCACACTTCTCCAGTTTGCAGTAAAGTTCATGGTCCAGGAGGCGGGACAGAACAGCTCGAACATGCCTGATGTGCTCTTCAGCAGTGCGAGAGTAGATGAGGATGTCATCTAGATACACAAAGACCCAGCGACCCAACATGTCTCTCAGCACATCTGTAATGAACCGCTGGAAGACGGCGGGGCTGTTGCAGAGTCCAAAAGGCATCACCAGATATTCATAGTGGCCAGTGGGCGTGATAAAAGGGGTCTTCCACTCCTCACCTTCCTTAATACGGATGAGGTTATAGGAGCTGCGCAGATCCAGTTTAGTAAACACAGCGGCTTGTGTGATGGCGTCCAGAGCGGTGCCCATGAGAGGGAGAGGGTGACGGTCCCGGATCGTTATTTTATTTAACCCTCGATAGTCTATGCAGGGCCGGAGATCCCCCTCCTTCTTCTTAACAAAGAAAAACCCCGCGGCCCCGGGGGATGTTGAGGGACGGATGAATCCCTTCTGCAGGGCATCAGTTATATAATTGTCCATAGCCCGGGTTTCCGCCAGAGAGAGGGAGAACAGGCGACCCCGAGGGGGGGTGGTGCCGGGCTGGAGCCTGATCTCCAGGTCGTAGGGTCGGTGAGGAGGTAACCTGGTAGTGGGTTCTTTAGCGAAGACCTGAGCGAGGTCGTGGTAGTGAGGAGGGATGAGTGTCAGGTCTACGTCTGTGGGAGGGGCTGCTCCAGTCCGAGGTGCAGGGGAGTCCCGGTGGTTATGGCAACCCGTGCCCCAGGCCAGGACTTTACTGGTGGACCAGGAGATGTGAGGCTCATGGCGGCAGAACCAGGAATGACCCAGGATGAGAGGCGTAGCCGGAGCCTGGATGACCAGGAAGTGGAGGGTCTCCCGGTGTTGGTCAATAGTCATGTGGAGACCCTGAGTTCGGTGGGTGAGAGGGTACGGCATGATGGGCCGGCCGTCCACAGAGGTCACGGGAATGGGTCGGTCGAGGGCGGTGAGGGGTATCTTGAGCCGAGTAACCAGTCCGTGATCGATAAAACACTCCGCAGCCCCAGTGTCTAAAAGTGCCTCCAGTCTGGTCGGGCCTTGGTCCAGGTGGAGGGAGACCGGGAGAGTGGTTCGGTGTGGAGCCGGAAAAGTGGAGACTCCGGGCGGGACAGCTCCTACTCCGACCCAGAGGGACCTTTTCCCGGTCGTTTTGGGCACGTGCCACGGTGGTGACCCAAATCCCCACAGTAAGCGCATCTTCCCTCCTGGTAGCGCCGTGCCCGTTCCTCAGGGGGAAGATGTCCCAGCTGCATCGGCTCCTCCGTCGGTTGGTGAGCCGGCCGGCGGGGTGACGTCCTGGTGTGTACGGGGGCTGACATGGTGCTCGGCCGGTTCAGGATGCAGCGGTCCAGTTGGAGAGCCAGATCCACTGCCAGGTCCAGGGAGGTTGGGACCTCGTGCCCGATCATGCCCTCCCGGATTCTCGGTGACAGTCCCTCCAGGTAAACGGCCTTTAGGGCGGCGTCATCCCACCTCAACCGAGCTGCTGTCGTCCGGAAGCGAGAGGTGTACTGAGCCGCCGTCTGGGAGCCCTGGCGGAGCTGAAGCAGCCGAGTCTCGTCCGAGACCTCGCTGCTGGGGTGCACAAAAGTCTTTTTCATCTCCTTTACAAAAGTCTCATAGTCATTGCAGGCAGGAGATTTCTGATTGTAAAGAGCCGCCGCCCATTCACCGGCTCGACCTGTCAGCAGTGAGGTCAGCAGGGCGACGCGAGAGCAGGATGTGGGGTAACGTGCCAGTTGGCACTCGAAAGTCTTGGCCAGGGTCGCCAACATGCCCTCCGGGGACCCCCTGGTTCCGTCCCACTTATCTGGAAGGCTGAGGCGTGGTTCCATTCTGTCAGGAACAGCTGCGGTCTGACGTTGCAGAGCTGGAGTACTAGATCGGTGAGTGACTCTATCTTGGTGGCTTGGCGATCAGCTATGGCACGGAGCTGGTTCATTTCTGCCGTATGCTGATCCAAGGTTGCGCGCTGTTGAGCCACTTCGGCACGCAGACGCGCGAACTCCGCTGGGTCAATTCGGGGCTCAGTCATCCTGTCAGGTTCGTTGGCAGATCAGAAGCGTGACTGAGAGTTCGGTTGCCCAGACGTGGAGAGACGGAGATAACCGGCGTGGTTATCTCCTGAAGGTGTAGTTTGGAAGGTTTTGAGGGCTGGTAAGCCTGGAGACTCGATACAAAGTCTGGTGAGAACGATGACTGAGCAATGAATGAAACGCCGGCACTTCCTTAAGTAGTGTCGGCGTGATGACGTCAGTCGCCACGTTGGTGGCAGGAATGAATGGAATGCAGTCAGCTGGAGGAGTTCGTGACACTGCCTGGATTCTTACTTTTTCACCTCATCAGTTACTTTTGAGCAGATCAAAGGGATCTCCTGACCGCAAAGCGGAGAGCGCGTTTCGATGCGTCAGTGAGGTGAAATCACCGCAGCACAGGGCTCCGCAGTAGAGCGCTTCAGGCGCAAATAAGACAGAAAGTAGAGAACTTGTGCGGACATGAACGATCGTGTGCTAATTATAGTTTTTTGGTTGCGCCACTTTGAGAATGGACCGTGCGCTGGACGCAGCAGCCTGGAGCGCTGCGCAACAACGCAGCGCTGTGCCGCTCTCTGTGCTCTCTGCTCGAAATAGTCCATAAATGATGTAATATAGGTAGAAAACTTTTTTCCAGCTCCCCTGGATATGTAGGATATACAGCTCCCCCATATTTCGATCCCTGCTCCTGGATGAAAAGCCGGACATTTTCATCAAGAAACCCCCAGTCCGGACGCCCGGACAGAGAGTGAAAAGTGGACATGTCCGGGAAAATCCGGACGTACGATCACCCTAGTTTAATTTAAAGCGGGAGATTACAGATAGACGTACAGTATTTTGCTCGTAGAGTTCGTGGGCCCTGGGCAATTGCCCAGTTGCCCATATGGTTAATCCGGCCTTGACCAGCGGTCAAGGCTAGGGGGCCCCCCAACACAAGGGGGCCCCAGGCGGCCACCTACCTATGCCTAATGGTAAAACCGCCTCTGCACACACTCACTCACATTCTTTCACAAACATGTACACACACTCGCTTTCTCTTACACACACACACACACACACACACACACACACACACACACACACACACACACACACACACACACACACACACACACACACACACTCAAGGGTGGACTGGCGTATCTGGCATTCTGGTACTGTCCCGGTGGGCCGCTTAGCCAAGTGGGCCTCCTGCCCAGCTTGGGCCGACACAGACCCCCAGTGTGCACCCCCCCCCCCCCCCCCCCTGCATTCGGCGGCATAGACTAGTCCGGCAAAGCCCCCTACAGTCTCACATTCAGTGAAACAGACGAGACTGCGACCTGCAACAACCCCCCCATTCTCACATTTCTTGATGTCCCCCACCATTGAGGGCCAACATAAATGCCAGGACCGATTTTTAGTCCCAGTCCACCCCTGCACACTCTCTCTCTCACTTGCTCACACACACACACTCACTTGCTCACACACTCCCATTCGCTCACACACACACACTCTCACTCCTTCATACACTCTCTCGCTCACACACACTCTCTCACTCGCTCACACACTCCCATTCGCTCACACACACACTCTCTCACTCCTTCATACACTCTCTTGCTCACACACTCCCATTCGCTCACACACACACTCTCTCACTCCTTCATACACTCTCTCGCTCACACACACTCTCTCTCACAAACATGTACACACACACACTCGCTCACACACACAGTCTCTCATGAACACACACACACACTCGCTCTCTATTACACACATACATACACACTCTCTCTCACACGCATACACACTCATTCCTTCTCTCACACACACACTATCTCTCTTGCTCTCTTTCACACACAGACTCACCTTCTCACACACACACTCTCGCTCTTTCTTTCACACACACAAACCCACACTCCCTCTCTCACAAACACATACACACTCGCCTTCTCACTCACACACACACACACACACACACACACACACACACACACACACACACACACACACACACACACACACACACACACACACACACACACACTATCTCTCTTGTCTCACAACTGAACTGTTCCTTCAGCCAGTAAAAGACATTTATTGTTTTATTTGTTGACACATGGGTTCTGATATTTGGGTCTTTTCCAGCTGAAGTGGATGCTGCTGGATTCTGCTCAGCAGAACCAACCAGGATTAAAATCCTTGTTTTTCTGGAAAACTGCTTATAACAGCTTATGAGCTTTTAAGTTAAAAAGACAATAAAGATAAACTATCATTTCAAAATTCATGTTTATCCTGGCCCTGATTCAGAGGAGGAGCTGATCCGGACCGTGGGGGTTCTGCGTGGTCGTTAGGACTGAGAGGATGCTGACCCGAGCTGGGTGGAGAGTCTGCTGTGGGTCTGGATCCTGAGCTCAGTGGTGTTGTGTCTCATTTATCCATCTACACACACACACACCCCGCCCATCTCCTTTCCTCTCCCGGTGCGTCTGTGCGCTCCGGACCAGGACCTCTTGGCTGTGATCCACTTCATGGGACCAGCTGCTGAACCGAACCTCAGTGAGCGGGTCTCTGTGTGGAGAGTGACCCAGCAACAGCTTCAGGGCTGAACTTTTTACAGACTCCGTGGCTTCAGTTCTGTTCCGTCAACCTTCATCATTTCACCCAAACTCCGGCAGCAGGACCGCCCGGCGCTCGCGCGGCTGGTCAGCAGGAAGCGGCTGGTGGCAGCGGGGGTCCTGGGGGTCGTTATGGTTCTGGTTCTGGTCGTCCTCATCCCGGTTTTGGTCAGCTCAGGGGGCGCAGCGCACTATGAGATGCTCGGATCTTGTAGGATGGTGTGCGACCCATATGGCACAAGATCCCCGGGCAGCACCGTCACTCCGGACCCAGACCCGGACAGCAGCCTCGTGCAGTCATTACCCACTTTTATTCAAGGTCCGAGAGGAGAACCTGGTCGAACTGGAAAGGTGGGTCCAAGAGGAGCTCCAGGTCACCCGGGGCCACCCGGTCCAGCTGGACCACCTGGCGAGAGAGGGGAACCGGGCAGACACGGTTTACCCGGACCTCCGGGACCGAGCGCTGCTGCCGGTCCGATCAGCGCAGCGACCTACAGCACCGTCCCAAAGATCGCCTTTTACGCGGGACTCAAGAAGCAGCACGAGGGCTACGAGGTTCTGAAGTTCGATGATGTGGTGACCAACCTGGGGAACCACTACGACCCGACCACCGGGAAGTTCACCTGCTCAATCCCCGGGATCTACTTCTTCACCTATCACGTCCTGATGCGCGGAGGGGACGGGACCAGCATGTGGGCCGACCTGTGCAAGAACAACCAGGTAGGTCTCAGATCTGGATCTGGATCTGGTCCGTCCAGAATTTATTCCACATTCTGAACAACATCCGGTTTTGGTTCCTCCTCGTTTAAACAAAACAAACACAAAAAAAAAAACAACAACAACAACATATGAATCGGTTTGGACTTGAGTCGGTCCTGATGTGGACCCAGTTCCAGAACTCAGAGCCAAACCCTAACTTAAGTCGTTCACCTGAGTTTATGACACACACACACACACACACACACACACACACACACACACACACACACACACACACACACACACACACACACACACACACACACACACACACACACACACACACACACACACACACACACACACAGTTGTTTAAACATCTAAAAGCCCATGCTGTCTAAAACTGTAATAAAGGTCAGCTGCTGTAGCAACAGGACTCTGTAGGGGTTAAACAGTCAGTATACAGCCTGTAAATCAGGTAAAACCATACCATACCACACCATAGTTTATTTATATAGCACGTTTAAAACGCAGCATGGGAGCTGCCCAAAGTGCTGCACAGGCAAAAAAAAAAAAAAAACATGACCAATCTAAGGAACTAAAACAGAAGATAAAAATACCGATCAAAAGCAGATAAAACATGATGAATACTATGAACACATTAAAACAATAACACAATAAAACTCTAAATCGAGTCACTGTCTAAAAGCCGAAGCGTAAAAGTGGGTCTTTAAACGAGATTTAAAAACCGCCAGTGATGGAGCCTGCCGAACTCCAATGGGCAACAAGTTCCACAGCTTTGGGGCAGCATGCACAAATGCTCGATCCCCCAGCGATTTGTATCGCATCCGGGGCGTGCACAGCAGCAGGAGGTCAGCCGACCTCAACGTGCGCGTGGGCACATATGGAGTGAGCAGGTCAGAGAGATAGGGAGGTGCCAGGCCATTGAGTGCTTTAAATACAAAAGTCAATAACTTAAATTGTACTCTGAAAATGACAGGGAGCCAGTGAAGATGTTCCAGGATAGGGGTAATATGGCTACATCGGTGCGTATTTGTCAAGAACCTGGCAGCAGCGTTCTGGACGATCTGCACCCGATTCAGGGCAGAGACCGGAGCACCAACTAGGAGGATGTTTGCATAGTCCAGGTGAGAGGTAATGAAGGCATGGATGACTGACTCCAAATGCCTCCGTTTCAAGATTTGTCTGAGGTGAGTAAGGCGGCGAAGCTGATAAAAGCAAGACCTCACAACGGAGTTAATCTGTGGGGCCATTGTGAGTTCAGCATCCAGCTGTACCCCGAGACTTGTCACACACTGTTTGGGGTTGAGGGTTAAAAGATCACAAACAGGGTGAGAGCCATGGTGGTTGCGGGGTCAAAAACAATAGACTCAGTCTTCCTTTCATTGAACTTTAAGAAGGTGGATGCCAGTCAGCCCTTCACGTCATCTAAACATGCAGCCAATAGCGAGCCCGCATTCTTCTCATCCATTGCTACATATAATTGACAGTCATCAGCATAAATGTGATAGCTCAGGCCATGCTGATTCAGGATTTTGCCCAAAGGCAGAAGGTAGATAGAAAACAGCAATGGCCCGAGAACGGAACCTTGTGGCACCCCCCAAGGCAGTGGAAGACTGGAGGATGCTCAGTCACCAATCTGGACAGAGATGGATCGGTTGAATAGGTAGGAGCGGAACCATTTATGTGCCACCCCTGTCACCCCAACCCAAGACCCAAGCCGGTCCAGTAAAATATGGTGATCGACCGTATATAAAGCCGCTGAAAGGCCCAGCTGGAGCAGCATTCCCCTAGACCCAGAGCCGGATGCCACCAGAATGTCATTTAGCACCCTAATCAAAGCAGACCCAGTGCTATGGTGTGGTGTGAAGGTGGACTGAAACACATCCAACAATGTGTTTCTGTCCATATGAGCAGAAATCTGTCCATGAACAATTTTCTCAAGGACCTTCGAGAGAAACGGGACTTTCGATATAGGGCGGAAGTTCTCATAAGTGGAGTGATCCAGACCAGGTTTCTTCAATATCGGCTGAACAACCGCATCTTTAAAAACCTTAGGGAACACTCCAGTACTGAGGCTAATGTTAAAAATGTTCATGAGTGCTGGGCTCAGTGCAGACACCGAGCCACGCACCAATTTAGCCGCGAGGCAGCCCACCGAAGAGCCAGCTGGCTTCATGGAGCTAAACCAGCTTAGAACGTTTTGAATCTGACCTTTACTGGGTCCAGTCCAGGCCTGGTTCTCTCCTGATGGATGCAGCACCAGTGACTATCTGAGGAAGATGGTTGGAAACAGTTTGCTGATTAATCTACTCCTGTGGGTTTTCTCCCACTGACCCAAATCATGCATGTCAGGTTAATTAGTGATTCTAATGGTCTCAGTGAGTGAGTTTGTCTCTGAGTGTCCCAAGGGCCCTGTCCATGTCTCCACCCCTCACCTGATGACAGCTGGAGATCTCCCTCAAAGTTCAATTTTTGGTGCCGGCTATTAAAAGTTAGGCAGACTGACTAACACTCAAGCTCATAAGAGGAGATGGCCGAACATATCAGCGTTTCCAGTTGGGCTGAAACATTTAATCTAAGGATTCAAATTACTGGATTACTAATAATCCTCGAGTCATTAAAGACATGTTCTAGAAATGTTTTCAGTAAATAAAATAAATGACGATTTATTATATCTTTAAAAGCATCTCAACTTACTTGTGATGGCAGAAAGGACGAGGGCAGCTTTTGCTAGATGGGGTCAAATGATGAATCAAACTGAGCACGAAAGTGACAAACAGAAGTAACAACTCCTCTCCGTTTACCTTGACCTGTGGAACTCCTCAGCCTCACATCTGTAGCATGCACACCTGTCTGACATCACGTCTCAGGATGTGGACACAGAAGGTTAGATACCTTACTAATAACACGTACCTGTACCTGTGTAAGAACAATAGAACTTAAAGTTAAGGAGATTTTATCTGACTGGTTTAACGTTCTGGAAGCAGGTGTTGCAGATTTGCAACCGTTAAAACCTTCCTACCTGGTTACTTCACATATTTGGGCTGCATGGTGGTGCAGTGGTTAGCACTGTTGCCTCGCAGCTCGAAGGTCGCAGGTTCGAAACTCGGCTGCGGCCTTTCTGCGTGGAGTTGCGTGTTCTCCCCATGCACGCGTGGGTTTCCTCCGGGTACTCCAGTTTCCCCCACAGATTACAACATGCCCTGTAGGTTATAAATTCTAAGTCGCTTTGGATAAAAGCATCTGCCAAATGAATAAACATAAACGTATTTCATGAGCATTTTTAAACTCAGAAGTACCCCTGAAGGGCTTAGTTGTTCGTCCTTTTATCAAAACTTATTTTGAGCCCGAGAGGGTTAAACATGATTTTATTAGGAAGTTTCTGTCAAGGTTCCCCTATAGTTTAAAATCGGAGACAATATGGTTTTCATGAAAAAAAAAATGGTTAAAAAAACCAACAAAGACATGACATTATCTTCATCACCACCACCACCACCATCATCATCATCTTTGTTACGTCCTGGACAGGAGATGTTAAAATGTGAAAGAGGGGGCAACATAAGTAATGCGACAGTGGAGTTAAAATGGTTTTAGTTGTTGTAAAAGGTTCTAAAAACAAGAGCAAACAGATGGCGAGCATTATAAAGATAATGCAAAACAAAGTAAACTCAAAAAGGTTAACATTACACCAATTACCAACTATTAAAAAAACACCTGGTTAAAACTTATTAAAAGTTTCACCAAAACAGAAGGTGTTTCAAAATCCACAAAGTTAATGAAAGTTCTTAAACAATCTATTGACATAAAACACCTGTTTAAAACTTATGTTAAAAGTTTTCCCGGAACAGAAGGTGTTTTAAAACCAAA